CCTCACCCCTCCACATGGCACCACATCACCCTCCATGTGTTGCCCCGACCTCACGCCATGTGTCGCCATGTCACTAATTTATATTTCTATTTTACAAGTTGTCTCCTCCAAGGTTTGAACTCATGACCTCCTCTTTTTGTATCCTGCCATTTTGCCACTAAGTTAAAATGAACTTGCAGTCTGTTACTGCATAATTATATATATATATATATATATATATTAAACTATACAAACACACACATATATTAAATATTAAATATAATAAAATATCATTACTATCGTTAAATACTTTAATTTAATTCTTTTAATTTATTAAAATTGTAAATTATATTATTTATTTTGTCTAAAGTAAACTATAAATGTAGTTGATACAATATCATTTGTGTTATTTATTTTAATGCTCATATTTACAATTATAATATAAAAAATATGTAAGAATAATAGTAAAAATATAGATGGTTATACATTAGTTCATAATTATTTACTTTTCTAGCTAGTTTTACTTAAAATTTTATTTTTACTTTTAATTAACAATAACTCTTAAGTAATGTAATTGGGTTGTTTTATATTACACTTTACTTTTTTAATTAGTTTTCATTTTTAAATTATAATTTTATAAGAAAGTTATGCATTATATGATCTAATTTTTTTATATTTATGTCACAAGATAGCATGAAACCAAAAAAATCATATAGCATTACATCCATAGATATATTTTGTATATTATAACAGTTAAAAGTAAAATTTTAGAATATCTTATTTTTCTTCTTTTTATCTTTCTCTTTCCTATGAGCCATCAAAATGAGAACATCTAAAAGCATCAAGCTCTAAAGTTACTAGTATTAAATGTAGAATTTGAATTAAAAAATTATAATAAATGAAATATCATTCTATGAATGAATAAATTTAACTATCATATGTCTAATTATTATAAACGAGTAGTGTTATTGTTTAAAATATCAATTTAATCATAAAAAAATTGAAAATAAAGACTCATTACCACATTATATACATTCCAAATTAAAAAAAAAATCAAACATTAGATTTTTGAATGAATTTATTACTTCATATAAGGGTATGCATTAGTCAATTTAGTTAGATTTGGTGTTATTTGACTAAAACCAATTAACTAAATTAGCCTAAATAGTTGTATTGAATCAAAGCAAACAAAAAATTGACATAAAATAATATAGTTTGGCTTAATTTTTTTCTCCGACTCATTAGCATTATAATAATACCTTAACTTTATTTTAAAATAATTTCATTATTTTAAAGTTACAATTTAACCATAAATTATATTAAATGAAAACTCATTATGTTATTTTATATATTCATTGTAAATTACAATAATACAATAAAATTAATGTCTTAAAATGTTAAACATTAGATTAAACAAAAATAAAAAATAATGTTGAAAATATAAAATCAAATTTTCAGTGGCGACTTTGAATGTCGCCACTGAAAGTGAGATTTTTAGCAGCGACTCAAAATGTTGCCCCTAAAAGTCTCACTTTCAGTGGTGACACTGTAAAGTCACTGCTGATTATCAACTTTTAGCGGTGACTTATATATCACTGTTGAAACTTATATTATATTTATTATACCATTAGTTTTTATAAAATTATAATACATTTTAAAATATGTTGACAATTAGCAGCAACTTTAAAAAGTCATTGCTAATTGTCAATTTTTAGCAATGACTTTTATATCGCCACTAAAACTTAGACCTTCGCGACAACATACACTTGTCGCCATTGAAGGTCAGACAATCAACGATGACTATATATTGTTGCCGCAGAAAGTCACCCTTTCAATGGCAATTTTAAATGTCGTCGCAGAAAGTTAAACTTTCAACAGTGACTTTTTTTGTCGCCATAGATTGTTCATTTTCAGTGGTAACTTTTTAGAGTCACCGCTGAAAGTTTTTTTTTTTGTAATACCCATTTTGTCCAAAACTCTAACTATCTCCACGTGGTGGTGACAAATGACTGATTTTAGATTGGAATTTTTATGTGGGTATTTTGCATCTTGGACTTGTCCACAACAATTTAGGATGATGGCACCTATACCTAAGTATTTCTAATTTCTTGAGGAATTAACAGATATTAATGGATTTGATAAAACCTTAGGTTGTGTTTGGATAAGTGGATTTAAGTTGGGAATTTGAATTTAAAATTTCATATTTGAAATCTCACATTTGAAATTCATAGATTCTAAATTCTTTGTTTGAATGATATAAAAAATTTCAAATTACAATATTACAATCCTTTGGCTTGGATCTAAAGTAAAATTTCAAATTTCCAATTTCATATTTGAATTTAAAAGAAACTTGGAAGATTGATCAAACTCAATGATTTGAATGGCCAACTTCCAATTGGATCAGACAAACAAAGCTGAATAGGACTGTGACACCGATGACGATTAGAACAGGACCTTTGACTTTCATTAAGACCAAACCATTGTGACAACAGGGATGGGACCCCCAGTCGACTTCTATCGGGACCAGAATGACAATGATGACAGGACCGGATTAATGGGGATGATAAGGATTGGACAGCTAACTTTTATCGGGATCGAATTGACAGTGACGATGAGGACTGGATTGCTAACTTCCACTAGTGCAAGATTGAACTAACGGTGACAAGGATCGGATAGTCAACTTCTATCGACACCAAATCAGACTGGTGATGATGGTGACCAGATTGAAGGCGATGGTGACGGAAGGCTGGACTAAACTTTCCAGAGAATTTTGGAATCAAGTGATATTATCATTTGCTATGATAGTTTAATGATTTGAGATTTTACTTAAAATTTATAAAGCCATTTTATTATGAAGTTTATTAAATTTTTTTACAAAATTTTGTCTATTTAACTTACATAACTATTTCAAAATTTTCATTTTATTCATGTTTTATTGTTTATTGTTAGGACGTTATTCACTGAAAAATTATTTTGGTCTCAGATACCTTAACTGACATTGATCTTCTTGCCGATTCTCGAGCATTATAGACAGGTGGAGGGTTGGTTGAAATTTTTCTTTTGATGTAATTATAAATGTTTATATATCTTATTTTTATTTTATTTTTGAAAAGTACGATTAGGTGCTCCGCATAAGCTATGACAAGGACTTTTATTTTTATATACATATGCTATTTGTCGGCTGGAAGAAGCTAAGCTCCTGATTTATTTTATATTTTGACTGCATCAATGTATTGTGAAAATTTTGAGAAATTCTATTTATAGGAGGGGTTTTGTTGAAATTTTTATGAACATGTTGAAACTTTGTTATAATTATTAGTGTTAAAAGTGTTATAATTTCAATATAAATTTGATTTAATTGTAGAAACAGAGTGAATTTACGATCTAAGGCTTACAAGGATGTGTGAAACGGTTCACATCCCGTGCCAGTCGCTCTCCAAATTTTAAGGCGTGACATGACTGATTATATTACCATTCTAGTTTTCAATACCTTGTATTTGAAGGAGTCTCTTCATCTCATCCCTTCAAATTTTCGTGTCTCCTTTTATTGTGCCTTGGTTTCCTACTTGATTTTGGATTTTGATTTGTTGTTTTGTTTTATGCTTTTGGCTAAATTTTGTGTGGTGTGTCTTTCTTGTTTCTGATTTTGCTGGTCAAGCTAAGTGTTCTCTTTCTTCCTCCTCCCTTTATTTCATTATTCGTGGATGGGATGGGAGGAGTATGACTGTCACTTTTTATCATATATTAAAGGGAATGAGGTTTAATTTTGGTGGAAGACTCTAGAAGTCAAGATTGCTCAAGATTCTACTGGTACACAATCTAGGACTATGAAGTCAATCAATGAAGACCAGATCAATTTAGTGTAAGTGCTAGGCACTACCACTATGGCAGATATGACTTGTTTAGTAGAGAAGCTAAGAGAATTATCAACATGGAGTACAATAGTCAAGCTTCACCTCAACAAATCCAAGTAAATTTGTATTGATTAATGTCAAATTGTTCTATTTAGTCAAATTCAAACCACAATATAAGATATAAATAATAGCCACCAAAATACGGAGAGTAATTAAATCAACACCCAACAAAATAACAATTAAGTTCACGCACCACATGTCTGATCCATTCACTTGTTCAATTACGCGGTATGATGTGATCCATTAATTCATTTTTCTTAACGATAGGGAGATTGCCCAAAAGGCTTTCAATTTCATCACGAGGGAGGGAGCAACTCAGCCGTTCCAATGCTTTGACTACAATCTGTTTGATTTCTTCGGCCTCAATGGGTTAAAGTAAAAATTGAGCAAATATATCTAACAACTAAGGGAGTGGGTTGAGCATCTGAATTATATTTTTCAAAAATAAATGGTCAGGTAAGAATTGTAGGAGAATAAAACCATTTGGATAAAACAGTAAGTAAAGAAAGAAATTTAAACATTCTTAAAAGAAACAATTGCCTAGTACATCAAGGGTGATACAAGATTACAAGTACATCAATTGATAACAAAGACTCCCATGGTTCCCTTTTTTTGTTCTTTTAGGAAGAACTCATAAGCAATTTAGAAAAATAAACTAATTAAATGTATCAAATTAAAGTTTACATAGAAGTTAAAAAAAATAAAATTTCCAAACAAGTAATGGAAAATTAGAAGTACAATAAATTTACTTGTCCATTTTATTCCTAAAAAAATGTTGATTTAAATGAAATGTGATATAGCTTATAAAACAAACTGGAAGTTACCTGTTTTAATGAAATGCAATCGAAGTACTTCCATATTATATTTGCCCCTACAGAAACTGCATTAGCCCTTACTGAATCACTTTGCTCGGACACTCTAAGCAAAGGAAGAAGGTGATACAATATTTTGGAGTAGTATCTAACATTATATTAAAGAAATGCTAACTAATCTCAAATCCAGTCCTCGCCCGGTGGAAGTTAAACTTTTGATCCTCATCATCATTGTTGGTTCGATTCCGATGGAAGTTGGCCTTTTGGTTCTTGTTGTCATTGTCGGTCAGTCTCAATGGAAGTCGACCGTTTGGTCTCGGTAGAAGTCAGTCATCCGGCCCCTGTTGTCACCATCAATCCTGTCTCGATAGAAGTCTGCCGTTCGGTCACCATCGTCACCATTGTTCCAATCTTAGTGGAAGTCGTCCGTCTGGTCCTCGTCATCGCTGTAGGTGTGATCTCGGTGGAAGTTAGCCGTCCATCCTAGTCAACAGTGGCAGTTTGTTTTAGTCAACTTTGGTGGTTCGGTCCAATTACAATTAGCAGATCGATCAAGCCTTCATACATTTGGGTCAAATTACAAAAGAGCTTGAGTCAGGATTTGAAATAATAGTAGTTTAAAAAGGATTTCAAATTACAAAGAAATTAAGGGAGAACTTGGATTTGGATTTCACTTGGATTTGGATTTGGATGAAATCCAAATCTATATATTTTTAATTATCCAAACAATGGATTTGGCTCAAATCCAAATCCAAATCTATGTGTATTCAAATATAGCATTAAAGTATTTTGAAGGACCTCTAACCAAAATTTATATTAGTCAAGGACCATTTGTTGTCAAAACCTAAATAGAAAATAAGTCCAAATAGACTGTTATTAATTTATAATGGGTTGTTGTTAAAACTCGAATGTATACTTGTTGATAAAAGACTAACCCAAATTAATAAGTATCCATTCAGTTTTTAACAATAAATGATCTTTATTGACTGACATAAATTTTGGTCAGCGGTCCTTCATTGCTATTTTACCAAAAAAAATATTTTCAATGTTTCTATTATTTTAATAATATTTTATTAATAATAGAAAAGGAATATTAGTATTTAAGCTAAGCCCATTTCTTCAAATTTTAAAAATAAAATATTAGTTTGTTAATAATTTCAATGTTCGAGCTTGACTCAAATTTTTTTTAAATTTATTCAGGTGATTCTAATAAACCTGAAGTTGAAAAAAATTTATATGCTCTAAAGTCTAAAATTCTATAATTTTTCAAGTCTATCTCGACAGACCTGTCAAGTTTCACTCAAATTATAGCGTTTAAATTTTATTATATCTGGAGGCAATATCTATGGTGTCTACGTTGCAATACGATGATGTTTAAAATAGTAGGATGAAAATGACAACTTTTTCTTCTTTTTATAAGACAAAAAATTGTATTAAACAAAGGAAAATGATACTCCCACCGTTAAAAAATATAAAATATTTTTAATCAATTCTCACTTTTTAATAAAGTTATTACTTATTTTTAAACTAACTTTATCTTTTTATATTTACCTCTATTAAATATCTTACAATAAATATGAAGTTATTCATTAATAGGGACACTTTTAAAAAAATATAATGATTATATCTCAAAAGATTAAAAATGTCTTATATTTTTTAATATTTAAATTTTTAAAAAATACCTTACATTTTTTAATGGGAGAGTAATAGCAAACAAAAAGCTCAAGAAAAAAGTTAAACTTCATCGCTCCAAGACAAATATATAGTAAGGATGTTATTAAATTTAAATATTTAAATATTATAAATTAAAAATAAATAAAAATGATGAATACTGCTTTTTACAAATTGTGTTGAATACAATAATTTTGGATACAGTTAATATAAATAAGATAAGCGGTAACGCTGCTGTCTCTTTCAGCATAGGAGTTTTGCTTATATGTACGTTTTGAAGACACTCTTGGACAAAACAAATTTCAACTACGTAGATATATAGTGTGTTTTAAGGCTTTGCCAATTGGCAATTAAAATTTATACCGTAAAAAATATTTTAATCTTTTTCACAATCGTGTTATATTGGTAGTTGCAAAATTATGACACAGGAAAATAGATCAACTGTTGCTGCTGAAGCGGACAGCATCACAATGCTGCTACATACACCTTTAATTGGAAATGTCAGATCACATCAGATAATTTTAATTTTATTTTATATTTTATGCTTTCCATTTTTAATAACATCTCTTATAGAGAGAATGATGGAGAAATCTTAAAAAGATTAATTAATTTAAATTAAGTTTTAATTTTACAATTATGTTTTAATAAATTTGTAACTTATATTCTAAATTTTAATAAAAATAAATTTTTTATTTTTCATTCATGTTAAAATTTAAAAAATAAGTTATAAATTTATTACAATGCAGTTGTAAAATTGAGAAATTGAGTTGTAAATTTATGAAGTTCAGTACTTAGGACCTAATTTAAATTAATTGATCCTTTTAAAACTATTCTTTGTCGTTCTCCTTTTTTTTATAAAGTTTAATTACATTTATAAAGTTATTTTTACTTTCACAAAAAAAATATTTTTACTATGTGAAATATTTATTTTAAAATAAAAACATAAATATATATATATATATATATATATAAATGCACCTAGGTTTTAGTTTGATCTCTTAATTTTTATAAAATATTTTTTTAATCCTCTAAGTTAGTATTTTGACTAAAAAAAATTGTCAACATTAAACTATTAAATATAAAACAAAACAAGGCGCACTTTTGCCCCATGTATTTGTGTGCGAGCGCGCAATGGACAGCACAGTTTCAAACCATTATGGATGGTTCAAAATTTAAATCTACATCTTTACCGTCACACAGCATCAGTTCAAATCTAAACCTCTGAAGGAATGTCACTTCACGGTAGAGCACTCGTCAAGGAAAACAAAGCAACTTAATAACAAAACTTACGTTGTGTGTGTGTGTGTGTGTCTTCTCGCATCGACGTTTATGCTGCATATATGTAAATCTATCTCCTTGTCCCATGCAAACTGGTCATCACCTTTCTAGTTTTATTACCATTCCGTTATTACTGCCAAGTGAAAGATGAATAACGTTATGTACATCTTGATGGTGTTATTCACAGTAATACTTACAGCATTTATCCTCTCAGTAATATCATATTGTTGCACCACATAGTCCAACACAGCAAGCCAATCAAATCATGGGGTTGATAGCAGAAATATTAGTATTGATGCTACAGACTTGAACCAGACAACGATGCTGACGACGACGATAGTGGAGCCATGCCTGGTAGATCAAACTAGGGTTTGCAACTACCTTAAGCTTCTTTGCAGTTTATCAAAAGCCAACAAGTTGTGTGATGAAGATGATGGTGTTTCAAGTTCTTGTTGCGTCTGCTCAATATGCTTGATGGATTTCAAAGAATCTGATCTCTTGCGAGTTCTACCACAATGTGGTCATTTCTTCCATGTCAAGTGCGTTGACCCTTGGTTCACAATGCATTTGACCTGCCCCGTCTATAGGAGTTCAATAAGAAATTTTTAAACCATACCCAATCTTCTTGGAATTTTGTATTTTGCTTTTATATATAATCCAAATTTTAGATAAAGTAGGCTTCATGAGTGTCACCAGGTTCAAGATAGATATATCTCAGAACTCCAAAAGTATTTATAGACATCATTTAGATTATCCATCACTAACAAAACCCTCATATCAATATGTAGTAGGATTCACCACATCCTTATATATGTGATATGAGTTGTATACTGATTGATTGGACAAACCTTGGTTGGCTTCTTAGAACTCTTCATATTTGAATGGAGTGATTGGCACAAAATTCACTCATTTAATGAATGTTCGATGTGGCTCTGATACCATGGGGACGAGTCTCATGTGCTAGCTTGGACCTAGATATCCCTGTGTTGACGTATCTTATGGTATATTGATCCAAATAAGCCCCTCAATGCCTCTCTTAGGTAAATTTAGCCCATTTTAAAATCCTCAATCCCTTGATATTTCAACCTGTGGATCTTTAAACATAGTGACATAAGCTTATTCTCATGGATCGTTGGTCGAATTCTTTCTGATGCACAGATATCTTAGAGAGGCAAGTATAGGGGATACTTTTTAGTATGATAAAATTAAGAGATTATTGAATCAAGCTTTCAAAAGAAAAGAAAGAGTTTTAAAAGAGAGACATAATTGAAAACACTCCTGAAACCCCTTTACTGCTGAATAATATCTTGTCCTTGAAAGAAATTTTCTCATATGTACAATAGCAATTGTTGATTTAATCGAATGACTATTAGAATTTTTGTCAATTTCATCATATGATGATATATACTTTGAAAGCATCAAATCTGATATTACAAATCATATCCTAGCTGATTTAATTTCTTGGAGGGGATGACATATTTGAGGGGTATTTTGACTGAGAGGTTGTTCTGAATTTTTGTAGGGAAATGTGTATTGTTAATATCAAACATTGATAAAATTTAATGGTTGTAATTAAGACATTTATTGAATGGGTGAATTTTGACTTTTCACCGAATTCAAATCCAAAGCCTTGTGTTTTTTGTATAAAGAATCTCTTTAAGCTAATATAATACACTGTGTTTCCTTTCGTGGGATTGTTGTGGTCACTAATCATAGCATAATTGAAATCGAAATAAACAAAGATCAAAAGCAATTGATTGATGATAAATAATCATTCTGTAATTAGTGTTCAAATTTTGAAATATTGGTCACTTCTCTTATTGGTTTTTTAGAGATTAATAGGTACATTAGTCATCACCACGAGATTACACGTGGGAATGTCTTTGAGAAATAGAAACATAAACAAATTCCCCATTTCGTTAATAGAAAAGATATCAATGGAAATGAATCTTGTAATAAAAAATAAAACAGACTAAAATAAAATGATAACGACCATATACATATAGAGAGAGGAGGGCAAGGTGAAAATATGGGTTGAGATATTTAAGATCATAAATCTAGACTTTTATTACTCTCTCCGTTAAAAAATGTAAGGTATTTTTAACTGAATTTTATCCTCCAATAAAGTAGTTACTTACTCTTAAACTAACTCTATCTTTTCATATTTATTCCTATTAAACACCCTACAATAAATATAAAGTCATTCATTAATAGGGGCACTTTTAAAAAAAAGGCAATTATATTAGATCTCAAAAAACTAAAAGTGCCTTACATTTTTTAACATCTAACTCCTCAAAAAATACCTTATATTTTTAAACGGAGAGAGTATTTAAGATCACAATTTTTATGTATAATAGAGAGTGAAAATAAGGATTGACATAAATATTTTCATCTGTATGAGTCAACTTCTAGACTGATCTTGAAGCATATTGAACTTCACGTTGCATTTCACGTACATCCATATACCTACATAGAGAAGCCCATAAAAGCCTTCTGTCAAATCTTGTGATTACTTTTTCTGTAACTAGATTATTAACAAGGGAGCCAAACCAAACCCTTTTAGTAGCGTTCATAATAGTTTCTTTTGAATAGATCAGCCTCTCCAGCAGCAAAGCTACTGCCCTCCACAGGAAGTGATTTTTTTTAAAAAAATAATAATCAAAAGTTTAGATGAATTGAGTTCTAAAAACTCACAAAGATTAGGGCATTCTTCCAAACTCAAGGAAAAAAAAAAACTCGATCACCCACAAATAAGATCATTAAATTGGCAACATTTGATCTCACAATTTTATAAATTATGAGCTAAATCCTTATCAATTAGATCAATTTTCATGTTAAGTGTTTTTCCATTTGGTGACACTTTGATTGCCCAATCAACTGCCATGCATAAACCTTCATGAACTCTGTGAGAGGCTTATATACATGAATAATAATGAACTTTGTGCCTTCATAATGATAATTAAAATTTCAATGCATATTTTTTCAAAAACAGTAAGAAATGAAGTGGGAGTATAGTTGAAAAAGTAATTATAAAAATTATCTAATGCCCTATATTTTTGACTAAGTAAACTTTTAGAAAATATCATATATTGTGGTCCGATAAAAATAATACAATGCCCTCTGTAATCTATTGTTTATTTATCACGCAACCTCTTGAAGAAAGACATTAGATGCCCCCTCCGTTTTAATTCTTTATGGTTATTGTACACATATTAAGAAATACAATTAATATTTAAAAATATAATATGATATAATACTACATCAAATTTCTTTCACCAAGGATAAAATAGAAAAAGCATCATTAAATAGTTTTTTTTTTAGTCTAAAAAACAAATAACACGCATAAAACAATTTTTCCCCCCAAGAAAAGGTATATTTTGAAATATTTGTGTAAATTCTCTGAAATCGACCGTGTAAAAGAATTCCTCTAATGGGATAACGCAATACTCAATGAACCACAATATCTACGAATCAATTAAGTATAGTATTATTAAACAGGAAACTCCAACACTCAGATCAGATTTTACAAATTAAAATAACCCTTGAAGTTTCGTTATGTGCACGATAACGATTGCAGTAGAATGACAAAAATAGACCTGGACGCTTGGCTTCAAGTATCGCATCTAAATGTGTAAACCAACTGATGAAAACCCAATAAGAAGGTGAAAAATTGAATCTCACCATAGGATGAAAATGACACTCAATTTCATGTATACAGGTCCGCCTATCATACAGGTCTCTCTCTCTCTCTCTCTCTATATATATACATATATAATGCATTTACTCCTCTGCTTCTTCAATTCAGTAATTATGCTTCCATTAATGCTTAGCATTTTATTCTGACGAATACAAATACATACCTTTCATTGCAGACTCCTATATTTGTACTAGGTTATTCTCAAGTTGCACCGACAGTTAGTTATTTTCTAGTGGAATGAAAATATTTGCTTATAAAGTTTTGGAGGTTGTTTAGTAGATATAAAAGAAAGTGACAAGATAAAAATAATTTTTAAAATAAAAATAGAAAAACAAAACATAATTAACATTACACATAGAGAAGCAAAAAATAAATCCTCCATTTCCCTAAACCCCCATGCCTTGAAAGCTTATATGTTCATATTGTGCATTGGTGGAAATGCCATTACTTACAGGGCTGTTTAAACGGTAAAAGAAACAAGCTTAAGCTAAATTAAGAAAAAAAGATTCTTTATGATAATCACAAGAGAATCTTGCTTCCACTGTCAGCAGAGTTTTGCAATGTCTAGTAGATATAAAAATATTTTATAGAAAGAAAACGATACATGCACTTATCCCTTCCCCCCACCCCCCATAATACATTCTTTATTTCCTTTCTAAGAAACTTTTTCCATGTACCAAATATGCACTGACACCACTCTCAAGAGTATAAAGTCAAATTCTACAAACTCCACCGTTCTTGTAGTGTAATATAAAACTAATTCTGAAGGGCATGGTCATTACCATACAGTTGTGTGTAGCTGGAGATCATCAACACATGCCTTGTTCTTGATTGGGTTTCCACGCCTCTCTTTTGACACGGTGTCTCATGATTCACATTGATGAGGATTTTGGGCATCGCTTTTAACAACTTTTTTTTGTGCCTGATTTGTTTTTGTCCTCCACCTAATTCATTTGACAAATCACAAATGCTTCACTAACTTGACAACACTGAATCACATCACTGCCTCCTACGTTTGATTCCCATCACGTTTGACTCAAACAACAGAGCAGAAAAGTGAATTAGCAAGACAGACTTTGAAAGGAAAGATAACTCTTGCAATATTTCATCCAAAAATGCACAACAAATCTCTCCACGCATTATGCAACTTGTCACCATATTTAACAAAGTGAATGTCACGCAACAGAGACAGGGCTATTTGCTCAGAACAGATGCCTTGTGTTTCACAGTGATGAATTGTAAATGATATTTAAGGATTCACACAATCACTAACGTGGTGCAGAACAAAGTGTGTATGCCTTAAGGGAACCAACTGATTTTGTTAGTGGCCATGTGGCTAAAGAACTTTTGGGGACAGCCGCTACTTGATGTATTGTGTTTCTTTTGGGCTGAGCCCACTGCTATCTCAACCCTCCCCCCCCCAAAAAAAAAGAAAAATAGAAACTATTTATGAGTTTAAGACGTAAAGCAGAATTAGTTCTCAAGACATGCGTTCGGATAACAGAAATATCATGGAGGATTCTTAAACTTCCAATAGGTATTGTCGATTTATACTGGTCCCCAGGGCATTCTTTTTTTCGGGGGGCTGAACAACTGAAATCTATTAATATTCAAACAAGAGATACAAAAACAACTACAAGCTCCAACAGAAATCCTTCATTATTTTCCACCTCATGTAGCAACAAAAAGTGGTGGATGATCAAAGACTGCAAAATCGTTGGGAACACTATAACCTTTTTTAGCTAGAAGGTCAACAACACTACTAGAATCTCTATTAGTTAAGTTTACCTAAACAAGCCGGTCTCCATGCAACAAATCAAAAGTAGAGTTAACGATATCTTTGTACGGACGATGGTAGTAGCATACCCGCATAATAAGATAGATTACTTCTGTACAGTCGGAGTAACTTTTATCTTTCGAAGTCCTCTCTCTCAACATAATTCTAGTCCTTTCATGAGACCATACAATTCTGTAATAGCTGGTGGGCAAGGGGGTAAGTTGCTGCAGAAACCGACCATCCAGGTTCCATTTATTCTCTTCACAACACCATCACAGGCACTAAGACTGTTCAGCTGAGCCGATCCACCAGTATGTAGAGCAATCCACTCCCCAGCAGCGTCCTGAGTTCGACAAACAGATCCTCTCATCTCTCTTCTATTGCTAGAATGAGCCATGTATTGAGCATCCGCCATTACCCTTTGCAAGACTCTCTTTGTATCAGAACACAGATCAGCCTCTTCAGTACTAAAGACTTTTTTTAATTCTCAAGTTCCAAATTTCCCAACAGATATACAAAAAACCACGTTCCACTTCCTTGAATAGGTATTGCCTAATTCCCTTGTCATGTTTCATTTTAACTAATCAGATCTTGACATAGTCATAAAGGACTCGTTGTAGATGCTTAATTCATTGTTTCCCCAGCCAAATGTAAAAAGCTGGGACTACAGAACATTCAGCAATGTTCCAATCTGCTAAGTGAATATGAACTTCAACTGTTTCTTAAAATGCAGACTTAAAGATATAAGAAATGCCTTGACTAGAGTAACTTACAGTCTTAAGTTCAAATTTGAAATCCCTCTGTGCTATCCCTGAAAATTCCAAAAAGAAAAATTCTTAGCGTTTTGTTTGTGCATAAATTTGCAATAGAGAAAGATATAAACGGTATTTACCTTAAAGTTCAGTTTCAGATTCTAGGAAGTCCATTTTTATATGCATCCACTGCAAGATCCCCTATCCTGGGAGCCAAGTTGCAGATCAGGAAGTCTTACACACATTTTCCACATATTTTAGTCAACAGCTGATAGCCTCGCCCCTGATTTATGTGAATTCATGGTTGGGGGATTTTTCTTAAGTGTCTTCTTATCTCTAACCCCGTCATATAGCAGCTCATAGGCATAATAAGTTATACAGCCCTTCTTCAACAAGTCTTCCACAACGATCTTAGGTGCTGCTACCTCCTTTTTGTCAGCTTCAAAAATTGCATTAACAGTATCTGGGACAATACCCTTGGCTACCATAAGGTGGATGATGCCAACAGCCTCACGGATCCGATGCTCCACACAAAGACAATTTAGAACCCGTCCGAATGTTGGCAGTGATGGAATGAACCCCTTCTTAATCTTCTCTAACAGAAAATTGTATCCAGCAGTAACATTTCCGGTCTTGCAGAAACCATCAATCATGACCTGATAAGTATAGCTACCTGGATCACATCCATTCTCATTCATCTCTGTAAACAGATTTTCTGCTGTATTCATATCAAGCTTTTCAGAATATGCATTAATCAATATATCATATATTGCTGTCGTCTGAAAAATCTTGTGTTGGTTTTCTGTCCTGAAAAACTGGTAAGCTCCACCTAGATCACCAATCTCACAGAACCCATTGATCAATGTTCCCAAACTCACTGTGTCAGGAGTCAAACCCTTGCTTTTCATTTCCCTAAACAAATCCAAAGCTTCATTTAGTTTCTTAGCTTTGCAAAGGCTTTCTATGAGTATGTTGTATGTAATAATGTTAGGAATACAATCCTTCTCCAACATTGTTTTGAAAGTCTCCATTACGTCTTCATATTTTGCGGCCTTACAAAGCCCATTCAATATAGTGTTATACGTGATAGCATCAGGAGTCACACCTTGACTCCACATTCTATCCACCATATCAATTGCATCATCTAACTTCAACTGTTTACAATAGCCATCAATCAAAGTATTGTAGGTAAATATGTCTGGAAGACACCCATCAGCAATAGCATCGTTCATAAGTTTACTGGCATCAGATACACAACCCATCTTGCACAAGCCGTTTATAACTAAATTATACGTCCATATATTGGGGTGGCAACCATTTTCTGACATCTCATTCATCAGTTGCAAAGCTGGCAAAATAAGACCCAGCTGAGATAGCCCTTTGACTAATGTATTGTAGACAATAATGCTAGGCCTTATACCTTTTCCGAACGCATCTTTAAGAACAGCCATGGCATGATCTATCTCACCATCCTGGCATAATTTATTAATTAAGGAACAATAAGAAAACTCATCAGCCACAAATCCCTTGAAGATTGCATCCTTCAAAACATTCTTTGCAGTTTGTACCATCCCAGCCTTGCAGTATCCATCAATAATACTATTATATGTGAAGCCATCAGGCTCAAATCCATCATTAACCATTTTGTGCAAATACCTCTCAGCTTCGACAACCCTTAAGTTTTTACACAATCCACAGATTAATGTATTGTAGGTTACAACATCAGGAACTAGACCTTCCCTAGACACACTATCAAATAATTTGACCGCCCTGCTAAGAGAACCTTCCCTGCATAGTCCTTGAACAAAAATATTGAAAGTGAACAAATTAGGAGAAATCCCCCTCTTTAAAACCTTGTCCAGAAGTTTCTCACTTTCTAGGACATTACCCTTCTTACAAAGTGAATGAATAAGCTTATTGAATGTAGCTATATCAGGACATAAATATTGAGTGAGCATTTTATGAAACAATTCATATGCCTCAACTGGATGATTGCATGCATAAAATCCAGCAATGGCTGTGCAATATGCTACTGCATTGCAATCAGTCCCTTGGGAAGGCATGTTATTGAGTAGCCTCAGAGCAGCATGAGGCCTGCTTGTCCTACAGAAGGACTTTATCCTTATGGTAAAGGTGTACACATCAGGAGCAATCCCTTTATCTCTCATTCTCAAGTACACCTTGTGGGCTTGATTGAAATACCCTTGCTCGACCAGTATATTCATAATCACATTAAATGATTGAACAGATGGCTCACAATTGTAGAAGTCCATCTGCTCAAATATGTTAACAGCTTCCTGAACGTTCCCTTTCTTCCCATAGTTCTTCATAGCACCAATATACACCCCCTCCAATAAGCTGTTATCAATATTCAATCTCATCTCCGAAAGAAGATTCTCCATTGCCTCAAATTCCCCGTGCAATCCAAGTTTTTCAACCATGCATTTGTAAGTTAATAATGTGTGCTTGAATCCATCTTCCTTTTTCACTGAGTTGAACATTTCAAGCGCTTTAAGTGGGTCCTTTTGAGATCTTACAACAGCAGCAACATGCTTAGGAAGTAAAGTAGGACTCATTCCAAGATGACACTCTACAAATAATTTTATGTATAATAATCAAATAAAATCCATCAACCAAACATAAGCAGTTCGTTGCTTGGGCATGTACATTAAACCTTCAAAGTTACACACATAAAAACAGAAAATTCATTCGGTAGCAGGACATATGCCTACGAGCTTGCTTCTTTGTGCCCTGACAAACAAGCTTCCCACCTAATTATCACCGTTGTAAATCCCATAAAAAAAAGGTTAAAATTAAATCAACAAATTGAAAGAAGGCAAGCAATAACTAGACTTGTCCAAATGCATTTCACTCTCTATGAAGTTAATTGCAGTCTTACCATCAAAGGACAAAAGTAACTGCCAGCAATGGAATTGACAAAAGCAAACCAATTATGTGCAAGAAGCATTTCATTAATAGAGCTTAGCAAATTGGCTCATGGTCAAAGGGCACAAGAAACATGCATGTACACAAGAAGAGAGAAGCTGAACTTTTGCAAAGAGAAATTGACAAACACACAAACAAGTTTAGGCGAGAAAGATTGCACTAATAAAACCTAGAAAATCGCCTTCTTTTCTTTGATAATAAAAAAAATAAAAAGTCTCTTTTTGCAATAAATTCCCAAACTGTTTCTTTTTGCATTAAATTCCCAACCCAAAAAAGGATCTTTAGTAGGATAAACACCTCACAGGAGACAGGCAGAAAAAACAAACCCTATTAATTTACAGGAAGTGAGAGTGCTGCTGGTGAAGGCTGCCCATTTGATGGCCTGATGTTGCCAGTCAACACCAACGGTGTGGTGGGGACTAGACAGACAGTGCAGTGGCAGGGGGAAGTTGATATGGTGTTTATCCAACAGCTAGAAATCTTTTTCCCTTCACCCATGTCATCCTATCCTGTTCCACCTCTGATTGGCCAATTGAAAAAAAAAAAAAAAAGTCATCATATTTAGTTTGAAATAAAACCAAAGCATTTGCAGCAACAAGAGAATTTTTCTTATCTTAATCAAAGTTGAACTGTTGAAGTCAATAGTCATTCTTTCTAGCTACATGCAGCACTTATGTACTTGAAATAACAATGAAAACAATTCCCCTAAGCAAAAATCGACATCAGATGATTCTTTATAGTTTAGAAGAGTTTAGAGGGGAGAAGAATAGAGGGACAGGAGAGAAGTTCTGAGTAATATTCTGAGTAATTCTTTTTCAAGGCAATTCATAATCTGATTACACAAAGGTAGACTTATTTATAGTTTTTTTCATTCCGACATACTCCTCTAATGGCTGTTAACAGACACTACCTAATTAACTAACACTCCTGTCATATAATACGATATTACACTTATGTAACATGTGGACATTTAGTCCATGCGAGTAACTAACCAATTAAATGCAACTTAAAGTTTTGAAGACAAATGTAAATACATAGTCCACAAGAGTCAATAATTAACCAAATGAGGCTTGAAACCATGAGATTAAGAACAATGCCCACGAAAATTAAACTACCTAATTAATTGGTTCGATTGGTCAAAAGAGTTGAATCAATTTATCCTAAGGTCTCAAGTTCAATTCCTAGAACATGCAATTGTGTTAAATAAAATGCTAAAAGCATCCAAGGTACCCATGAGGCTATTGTTAATAACAACAGTCCCACATAGCAAGGGTTCGAATTAGTCTGAGCAGGAAGCAGTAACACTCCCAAGTTTTTCAGGATACCGAACGAAATAAATAGGAAAAAGTTGTTTAAACTTATATAAACATTTTATCCATCCAACATAATATATTTGCTAAAGCTAGAATAATTTATTTTACCAAAATATTCAATAATGTAAATACCTATCGATAGGTGATTTAATAATTATTTTGATAAGAGAAATTCCAATTGTAAATTAATTGGGACACAATCCACTTATCTTGTATCTTTGCTAATAAATAACTGCCCCTAAATGATCACTTTTGTAATAATGGCCACTCCTTAATTCCCTAATGCCTTAAGTAACACCACTGTCATTTCTTTTATACACTTTATAAAACTCATAATATTCATGTAATAAAATTCTCGAATTACTAATCTTTAATCAATTCATATCTACATATATCTAAGAACCTACCTGACCTCATTAAATTAGTTAAGGCTAATGTTCGATAACCCCATGGACACATTTACACTCTAAGTCCACGATAAATTTAAAAGAAAAGAGTTTAACACCAATTTTCCACATGTAAGAAACAACATTGAAAATACTTGATTGCCTTTATCAAGTAAAGGATTACTAGAACAGGTAAAACATTTTCGTCAATCTTAAAGACATATTCCGTAAGGAAATGTACATCCACATACTGTAATTTAACGATCCTTTACTATACATATTGTAACTCCACTGGCTAGAGTGGTTTAATTAACAAAATATTCAGTACTTAAAAGATTTGATAAGTCGCAAGTTCTAAAATTCACTCCTTACAACTTCTATCATGTTACTCTTCCTCCAGACACCCTATAAAAATATATATAAAGAATTTAGTTAAATAAACACGACCACGATCAATCAAGGTTCCCCAGAACACAATCAACTAAAATAATTCAAAGTTCCCCAGAACACCAACATTTATGCATTAAAGTTTCTTCATATAACTTCAGCCGTAGCTAATTGCTCAATTGGGATATGTTTTCCTCTTAGATCTTTTGGCAAACACCTTGTGTGCAACAATTTCCAAACCATTCAATCAAGGTTCTGAATCCTTAAGTCTCATGCCCAACAATCTTCAAACATCAATATTTAAATTTACCAAGCTTCTCCTATTTGATTCCCCATAAAAATTAATTTAAATTCAAGAAAACCAAATCTAAACCCATCTTCTTCCCCTTGCAACAACCCAGAGCAACTGAAGTGAAATTACACATTCAAAAAAGAGCTTGCTTGGACTCCAACATCTCCTACAGTTCACACACGGCAGCTGAAAAAAGACAATAATAATCAACCCATAATTTCAGCATACAACATGGACGACACTAGGAGAGGATTCTCCCTCCCCCCCCCCCTTTCTTTTTTTAAGAACCCAACACCAGATCTTGACAGAGGAAGAAGGATGAAGAAACGAAACCTCACCCACACCAGTGCAGAGACGATGCGAACAGGGGAGAAGGAGAACTCACAAGCTGAATGGCGCTCTGCAGTGACGGACGGACGACGTGAGGGAAGAATGGGTACCCCCGACTCGAGGAAGAAGTATCTGGTGATGCGAAACAGAACAGAGAAAGAGAAGAATTTGGCAGCTATGACAGCCACGGCAGCGGCGAACGGACGGACGAGCTGCTGCACAAACGCCGACGACGAGAACAGGAAAAAAAAGGACGCAGCAGATGTTCTCGGACCCACCCACCCTCTCTTGCGCTTGGCAACGGATCCCAAATGAAATGGAAAAAAAAGAAAAAGAAAAAGAAAAAAAAAGGATTCGATGCTGTTTTTTAGAGGGCATTTTAGTAACTTAGTATAATTGACGCGAAATTTTTTTTAAAAAAATCTGGACATATTTAAGGGATATTCTTTTATACTGCGTTTGAATATACATAAATTTGGATTTAAATTTAAATTTGAGTTAAATTTATTCTTCGAGTAATTAAAAATGTATGGATTTGAATTTGACCTAAATACCTAAGTCTAAGTTCTACTTCAATCTCTTTATAATTTGAAATTTTTTCTAAACCCATATTCCTTCAAAACTTAAATTAATATCTTTTGTAATTTAATTCAAATCCATGAAGGCTTGATTGACCTACCAACGATAATGGGAACAAACCGTCAAAGTTGATGGAAACAAGCTACTACATTTGACTAAGATTAGATGACCGACTTCCCTAGGGACTAGACCGGGACGACACGGTCGACTTCCACTAGGACCGGATCCACGACAACAACTGACATAGGACGGTTGACTTCCATCGGAACAGGACAGACGGCAACGATTAGGATAAGAAGATCAACTTCCATCAGGACTGAACAGACAAGAACGGGATGGCCAACTTCCATTGGGACCAAATCAATGGTGAAGATGGGGACTGGACTGCCTACTTCTATTAGGATCGAACAGACGGTGAAGTCAAGGACCTCCGACTAACTTCCACCAGGATCGGATTGACGGTGACCACCAAACAATTAACTTCCATCGAGACCAAACCGATGGCGATGATAGGGATCCGATGGTCGACTTCCACCTAGTCCCATCTCAATGGAAGTCGGCCGTCCAATCCTAATAAAAGTCAGCCGTCCTATCTTGATCATTGTCGTGGGTTTGTCTTGATGGTTACCGTCGGTTTGGTCTTAGTGGAAGGTGGTCGTTCAGTTCTCGTCATCACCTTCGGTCTAGTCCTCGTGGAAGTCGATTGTATGATCCTTGTCGTCACTGTCGATCTGATCTTGTCGTCACTATCTATCCAATCCTGGTGAAAGTTGGCTGTCGATTCGGTCCCAGTGGTAGTAGGCTGTCTGGTCCCCATTATTATAGTCAATTTGGTCCCGATGAAAGTCGGGCGTCCCCGTCTTGGTTGTCACCAGTGCCACAGTCCCAATCGACTTTGACTGTCTGATCCTATTGGAAATTAGCCATTCAGATCGTTGAATTTGACCAATCTTTCAAGTTTTTTTTAAAAAATTTAAATATAGAATTTAAAATTTAAAATTTTACTTTAGTTTCAAACAAAGGATTTTAATATTGTAATTTGAAATTTTTTTATATCATCTAAACAAAGAATTTAGAATATATGAATTTCAAATGTGAGATTTCAAATATGAGATTTTAGATCTAAATTCCTAACTTAAATTCACCCATCCAAATACACCTTAGATTACAATATAAGTTATTGTTACTCCTTTAGTTCTATTTATAAATTACTTTCAATATATTCATTGAAATCAATAAAAACTTTAAAACTTATTAATTATGTCTTACAATTTAGTAGCTCTCAAATTTTTCCCTATTAAATATATATATATTTTAACAACATATTTTTTCTCCAACTTATAAAATCTTCTCTCTCTACAATAAATAGAACTAGAGGGAGTAACTAATTTAAGCTTCTTAAAAAAAGTTGGTTAAGATCTTAATTTTTTTGAAAAATTTTGCCTCTTTCTAATTGTACCCTTGAAAGTAATAAATACAACATTTGACTTATTCAAAACACCATCATTAATTAAAGTAAGGGTGTAATTGGAAAAAAAAAAATAACACCTATCCAATATCCTATATTTTAGACTAAGCAAAGCTTTTAGAAAATGACTTATAACGTAGTTTGAAAAAAAGTATTTAATAGCCAAAAAGCACAAAAACATTATGATGTACACTAATTTAAAAATAATTTTGAATGGTAGAAGACTATGATAATCTTGCTTTTTAAGAAAATGGCCTCCCACATCCGGCAACCAATTAAATCCTCTCGGTGGCTAGGGTTTAAACCTAACATCCGTTGGCCACTAAAGATTATAAAGCCCCCATGTCTTGTTAGTTATACAAGACAAAAATTCAATATATGTTGTCTTATTAATTTTAAATTTTCCAAATTATATTCTTGTTTAAACAAGCATCCATTTGTTAATTAACAAGTAACCAAGTATAGTTAACAAGTAGTCATTTGTTAATTATAACAAGTATTTATGTGTATTTAACAAGTAGTCATTCATTAATTCACAAGTTATAAAATCTGATAGAGCTTAGCTGTGGAAAGGGACAAGTATAACGCTTGTTAATTAACAAATATCACCATATGTTAATTAACAAATTTAAAACTTTGACAAAGCTTGATTATGGAAAAAGACAAGTGTAGAACATGTTTCAACAGGTAGTCATTCATTAATTAACAAGTATCCATATGCATTTATTAAGTAGCCATTCATTGATTGACAAGTTCAAAAGTTTGATAGAGCTAGGTTGTAGGAATGGATAAGTGTAAAACATGTTTTGACAAGAAGTCATTCATTAAATAATAAGTAATCAATTTGAGCATTTAACAAGCAATCATTCATTAATTGCTAAGTTCAAAAATTTGATAGATCTTAGTTGTGGGAAGGGACAAATGTAAGGCCTATTTCAATAAGCAACTATTCATTAATTAATAAGTATTTATGTGCATTTAACAAGTAGCCATTGGTTATGACAAGTAGATAACCAAGCCCTGCTAGATTTTTAAACTAGTTAATTAACGAGTAACTACTTGTTAAATGCACATTGATGCTACTTATAGGCTTGGTGTTTCACCTAGAAGATATGTTTATTTCACCCATATGATTTAAATTATTGATGGCTACATGATTATTATCATTAAAGAACTTACTTTACAAATTAGCCTTGGTCCTTGTCTTTCTATTCTTGTCATCTTGGGCAATTTAGTGATAAGATATAGTAATGGGAAGCAAAGTCTTGTTAGGTTTATTAGAACATTTCAAGGGGTATTTGTATCCAATTTGATAAGATATACTTTTAACCTTGCTAATAACTTCTTACTATTCAAATACCAGTTACATAAAGTTGGGTTTTTTAGGCCAAAAGGGAAAAGCTATCATATATTAGAAACCAAACTAGAAATAGCAAGCTACCATCATTAGCAAAATAAAGAAACAAAAAGCAAGGAAAAAAACAACAAACACTAGAAACAAAACAAAAACAAAGGTTTAAAGGAATAAAAACAACTAGAATTCCTAACTTTAATCATGATATCAGCTAGGATATTTGCTAAGGAAGAAAGGGTTTGACACACCCACTCTTCGAGTACTTCTCCCTAAGAGGAGCTTAAACACACCAAATAACCTTTATAGTTTGAAGTCTTAGAATCCACTCATAGTGATTTGAGCCAAGAGCTTTTCCAAGATTAAAAGAATTCACTAGAGCGAATCAAATCCCCTCAAAACAAAATATAGCTTTAAACATAGCCTACCCAAGTGGAAAACAAACACACTCCTTGCAATGGCCCCTATCATTATTTATCCTTGTTCATTTCCTTATATTTTCTAACTAAATTTGTAACATCCTCAAACTTTAAAACTTAGAATGCAAAGTGTAAATAAGGGTAAATTGGTAAATTTACATTATTAATGAATTAATGATGTTTTTAAACTACTAATGAAGTTATTGGATCATTAAAAAACCTTGGAGTAGGCTAAATTAGAGTTTGAGCTAACCAAGCATTCAATGAGGCCCAAAGTTTATTTTGGGCTCATTATGACATCCACAACAGCAAATGCACCATATGTAGTTGTGGATGTGCAAAAAAATTTAGTTAAATCAAAAGGATGAGTAAGCTAAAATAGAAGGAGAAAAAGAGAGACAATATAAAGAGTCATAATAAAGGAGTTTTGGTCTACTAGGATTTTACTTTTAGGGCTATTTCAAGGCATTGTAAGTTAGAAACATCCTTGGGTAAGCTCCTTATCCATTCTTCTTCCTCTCTATTCAAAATTGAGTTTTTGGATATAGTAAGATATTGATTTCTTCCTCTATTGGGTCTTGACAGAACCCATTATGTTATTTGGTTATATGCGGAGTTAAATTAAGTTTTTAAATCTAGGTTTGATGATTTTATAGTGATTTATAATTTTTAGCTATGATTTAGACGAACTTTAAGTGAAAATTTAAAGATTGGGAATAATCTGGGTAAAAATTTGATGTTATTTAAGTGTTCGAGTACTAAATAGAATTAATAGAATATAGTGGGAGTGTCATTTGTAACATTCATGAAAATTTAATCATGATTAGTTAACCTAATGAGTATGATTATTAAGTTAATGAAGTGTATGGCCAGAGGGGCCTAATTTATATAAATTGTGGTAATTTCAACCCTAGAAGTAGCTCTAAATTGATAACGAGCCACTCAGGTAAGGAAATAGGAAGAAAAAGTAAAGGTTTGCCCTCTGTGCCATATGTCGTGGCATGTGGTTCATATGTCGTGGCATGTGGTTAATCTGTCGTGGCACACAAGGGCAAATTCAAATATAACGGCCTTTTTATGTCATGTGTTACGGGGGAGGGCAATGTGTGCCATGGCTTATGGTTAAAAATTTGATAAACCAATTTCATGCCTGTTTGAAAATTAGAGAAGAGAAAGAAGAGAAATGCAAAGAGAACGACTTTAGCTTTATTAGGGCACATTGTTGGATCATATTGAGGATAGATTGAAGCTTTGAAACACCCAAGGTAAGCAATCTATGCCTTGTTCTTTCTTTCTCTCCCTCATTTGTGAAGACTTAAGTTAGGGTTTGAGTTGAAAAGTTGATTTTCAGTCTATAGGAGTATGGGTCCAATCCCATTGGTTAAAAGGGATATAATGGGAATGGTTTGTGATAGATAAACCCTATATTGATAATTTTATCAAGAGTTTCTTGGGTAGAGCCATTAATGTT